TGCTCTGTAAAGCCCGAGACAGACTCTTCACAAACACGCTGAGGCCCCTCCCGAAGCAGCCTGAACGCTTGTTCTTATGTAAAGTTGTTATTCAGGAGGCAAGATAATACACCACCTTAGAAACCAGCCAAAGTGGGTGAAAACAATTTTTTAAATGTTTTAGTTTTTTTGAAAAACTATTGCATTGCACACTGTGTTTATTTTGAGACAGGCTCTTGCTCTGTTGCCCAGGCTGGACGGCAGTGGCACCATCATGGCTCACTGCAGCCTGGGCCTCCTGGGCTCCAGCTAACCCCCCGTCTCAGCCTCTTGAGTGGCTGGGACTACAGGCGCACGCCACCAGACCTGGCTAATTTTTTAGTTTTTTTATTATTTTTTGTAGAGACAGGTTCTCGTTCTGCTGCCCAGGCTGGTATCAAACTCCTTGGGTCAATCAATCCTCCCACCTCGGCCTCCCCAAAGTGCTGGGATTACAGGTGTATACCAGCACAGAACAATTCTGTTTTACGGTTCAGCTGCAATTTGAATTCCCACGTTCTAAGGAATCCCTTCACCTCCTTTTCCTTCCTCCAGCCAGCGATGCCGGAACACTGGGGCATGACAGCATAAGTACCTAGTGAACAATAAAGACAAAGCATCGGAGTGGAAGGGCACCACGGCCAGGCACCTGGCACAGCAGAGGCCACAGGGTCCAGCAGCAGGGAGCAAGTAAGCACTCCCAGACAGGAGGCTGCACAGCACTGGAGGGCACGGCTCGGGGAAGAGGGAGAGGGCACCATGAAGCCAGTGTGCTCCCGCGTGCACCCCGTGCCATCCCGTGAACCTCTCTGCTGATCCTTCCGATCCTCCTGCCCACATTTGGGGTGCACTGTCCGCTACTGCTGCCCCCAACAGTGGTCCCGGGAAGCTAAGCACGGGGGCTCCATCTGACCTCACTGGACTCAGGTGCCCATGGCCTCTGGCCTCACACAGGCAGCGGCAGTCACCCGCCCCGTGGCTGTGCCATCGCTGTCCTGAGGTCTTGGTGCAGGTGGCTCTCCAGACCCCTCCTGCTGTGTCTCTCAGGCTCTGTGCACTCCCAGTGTACCCAACAGCGCCTGAAATGGACCCTCGTCAGCCTTCCTTAGGGGAGGGCCACGCTCACCTGCAGACAGCCTCAGCCAGGGGAGCCCTCCCAGAGTCACCGAACAGCTGTGAGACCCACCCTGCCTGCGACCCAGCACCAGGTATAAGCGCACACCACGACTGCCGGCAAAGAAGCCAGAGGGTGCAGGTGCTGGGGGCGATGGGGAAAGGAGGCCGAGGCAGCCCTCCTGCACCCTCAGTATCAGAGTGGACAGAGGCGTCACAGCAGAAACCGTAGACGGTGCAGTCCATCTCACGGCAGGGAAGAGGAGCAAGGCCGCTGTGGACACGACACTGGCCACATGGCCACAAACCATGCAGGGCTTCCTATTTTCCACTCAGACAGCAAACGGCAACTGGGGGGTGCGACTACAATCTCTCAATATTTAATTCAAAGAAAACACGACTCAAAGATGGTCCCTGGCAGCTGGTGCCGGGTCACACCAATGCAGCATGATGGCACTTCCCAGCCCAGCAGCAGGGTACCGCAGTCACCAGGGCCCTCCTGGAACTGACGCGGCTGCCAGCTGCAGACATAGCCTCAAACCCACCACCCAGCGGCAATCCACAAGCGCAGCGCACACCCTCCCTCCACGGAGCAAAGAAGGCAGGCTATCTTCACAGAAGCTGTCCACTGACTCAGAAAATCATAACTACAGGAAGAAAGAGCAACAATCATCTCAGAAGTAGAAGAGGAGGAAAACCAACAAGTGTGAGCCCAGCACAAGGAAAGGGGGCGGGTGCAGGGGGCGGGTGCAGGGCTAGGGGCAAAGGCCCCAGCCCCAGGATATAAAACAGACGGCCAGAAGAGGGAAGGCCAGGCCTCCTGGCCACCGTCCTGAGGAGAGTTCTAGCTGCTCTGTCAGATTCTGAGTCTGCTGGCACATAACCATTCTTCACTGACAGCTGAAACTACAGAATTAGAAGTGAATACCAAGCTAATCCTAAGTCAGTGATCTAGAAACTGGCAGTGGCCATGCCCATTTCTTTGTGTTCTCTCCTCGGGCTGAGGTGCTGTTCCTTGCCTTCCCCCTCCACCTGGAGTGAGCGCCGGCTACAGGGTCTCCTGCCAGTCGGGCCAGCGCTCGACCAGGGCAAGCCAAAGGTACTGGGATGGGGCGGGGAGCTGAGCCATCTGCAGCGTGACAGGAAGGACGCTTCTGAGGTCAAGTCTGGCTGGAGAAGTGAGAGCCCTAGACCCAGGTGCACTATCCTCCTGTGGGCAGGGGGGCAGGGAGGAGAGCGAATGGGCCATGTGACCCCCACACACGGCTCAGGGCTTCTCAGCCTAGTCGGCAACATGGAGGCGAGCGGACTTCTCTGGGCCTTTTGAAACATCCTTCTGTTTCCAAAATGTGCGGTCAGCCTGGAGGACGAAGCCCGCACGCACAGGGTGGAGCACGGCGGGAATGAGAACTGGCCAGATGACAAAAAGAGAAAGAATTTCCTCAAACAGAAAAAGAGGGGAAGCGCTACACAGCTTTACCAGAAAAGGCAGCTTCAGATGAACGGCTGTTTGTTTAAATCACACAGCAGTTTCCTTCAAAAGAGAAGCAGCAGCCAGGTATGAGATTCCGCCCACTATGCCAAGGGTCAGCACTGGCTTCTCCTGAAGCTGTCTTTGATTTAAGGTCCCACAAATATGACCAGTGATAGCAATCAGGAGGTGAGAAGAACGTATGAGAGTTCACAGGGGGAAAAAAAACAAAAACAAGCTATTTATAAATGATCATTCAAATGTTTAACATAAAGAGCAGTCAGTACCGCAGCTTTATTCATTCTGCAAGTGAGGCCACTTAGAGAGAGTGGGGACTTGGAGGGGCCCCCGAAGATGCAGGAATGAGCAGCAGTCACGACCCTGCTCCCAGTGAGAAGGCGGTGAGGGGCAGCAGCAGTGACGGAGGAACCAGAGACACCGGAACAGAGTCCTGTTCAGGAATTCCAGACAGCTCCTCCAGCATCAGCCCTCAGAGTCCTTCCTGAACTCGGACCTGTGCTGGCGCTGATGGGCCTCCACGCCTGCTGAGAAAAGCTGGAATCTCTGCCCTCACAATAGAGTTGGGAGAGTTTTATCTGCAATTATCAACAGGAGCACTGCAGCAATCTAGAATAAAAGCCGGGTCTATCTTTAAAATTCCAAGTGGATTTTGTTCAGAGTTAGAGACAGGAACAAGGAACTATGAAAGGCGGCATGCCTCACTTTTCCTAGGAACTCAAGTCCAGCAGCGTTTTAACTATGATACAATTTCACCACCAGTATAACCATAAATCACTGTGTTGTAGAAAACTAAGAGACGGACCACTGACTGGGAGTCCCATCCTCTGCTGTCCCAGCTGACCATGAGAACCACAGGGAGAAAGGTGCAGAGAACTGGCTCGCACTGCGCCAACCACAGCTTCATCACCCCAACGGAACGAGGAAGACCACAGCTGTGGATTTAAGACGGTGCATTCCAAGGTGGGGCGTGGGGGCTCACACCTGTCATCCTAGCACTTTGGGAGACTGAGGCAGGCAGATCACCTGAGGTCAGGAGTGCGAGACCAGCCTGGCCAACAAGGTGAAACTTCATCTCTACTAAAAATACAAAAAATCAGCCAAGCGTGGTGGTTAATGTGTACATGCAATCCCAACTACTCAGGAGGCTGAGGCAGGAGAATCGCTTGAACCCGGGGGGGTGGAGATTGCAGTGAGCTGAGATCACACCAGTGCACTCTAGCCTGGGCAACAGAGCGAGACTCTGTCTCAAAAAAGGAGAGAGAGAACAAAAAACTGTGCCTTCCTTTGGCTCTCCTCCAAAGCAGCAATTTCCTATTTATAGGTGAGTCGTGCTACAGGACTACCTGAGGAGACCCTCAGGCTGATCTTTACGATCAAACTTTCCAACTGAGAAACTGACCTGAACCGCTTCTGGAGGGTCTGCAGCCCTCCTCCCAACGTGCCTCTGAGGGGTCACGGCAAAGCCCACGGGATGCACGTGCCCTTCTGTCCCCCTCATCCGGGAGGCACCTCGCTCCTGGGGTGCCCCGGGCTCTGTTGGGTCAGAGATCCGCATGGCCCGGCTGTGGCAAAGGACACGGGGCTTCTCGAAGGACAGTGCGCCGTGCTTCTGAAAAACAAGCACGATCTTGCTACGCAAGGAGCTGTGTTTATAGTTCTCACTGCCAACTTCACAGCTTTTGTTTTATGAAATGGGAAGACCACCCAGACTCTTTAGCAGTAATCCAGAGTGACAGCTGTCTTCTGACTAGAAAGGGTCCTCACGAGGACCTGGGAACAACACAGCCTCCTCCACCAGCGAGCTGCCTGTTCTGCACTGCCACGCCCTCCCCAGGCCCGTATCGTAGGGGCACATCATTTCAGAAAGACAATTCGTACTGGGGTATTCACCAAACGGTCACTCTGTGTGTCAAGGATTAGAAAGCAGCGAAGTTTGAGAGTTTGAGGCAATACACAGGAGCGAAACCACCTTTTGCTAACAGAGCTATCTGCGCAGACACAGCCGCCACCAACATCCGCACGGGTGTGCAGAAAATAACCATTGGCATGGGGCGGGGTATGTTTCCACCACAAAGCAAAAGCTACCCACAGAGCGGCAAATGTAACCTTCAAGCCCCACCCTCCCCCTTCCAGGCCTGTGCATTGCCACGGTGAGAAAAGCCAGTCCTGCTGAGGGGCTCACACTGCAGGGCCTTCACACCCTCACCCGTCCCGTGAGAGACCCCCTCCCTGTTAGCGCAAAGCCCTGTATGTGAGGAAAAGGCCAGGTGTATAGCAGGGGAACTGGAGCACTCACCTGACCGTCCCACCCCTCCCGAGAGAGCCCCACCCCTCGGCAGCGCAACGCCCACAGGTGCGTGGGGCCCGGGGCACTCACCTGACCGTCCTGCCCCACGTGGTGGATCTGGAGGTTGCCCTGAAAAGAATCAGAGGAGGAGACAGTCATAAGCAGAAATACACCAAGACATATTGCAGGTCATCTGGGATAACAAGAAAAACCAGTTCTGCAAAAATTCAACCTCCAGTAGCAAAAAAAAGTCCCAAAACAAAATACTTAAATTTCTAGGTACTATTTTTTATTGTAAAGATGAACAAACAACTCGAAAAGCACTATACCCACTTCCCAACCCTGACCCCTCATGAAAATGTCATTTTTGCTTTATTTTTTATTTTGAAAGAATTTTAGACTCACAAAAAGCAGCAGAGAGGTCCTATGTGCGTGCCGCCCAGCTTCCCCAATGGGGACACCTTACTGAGCTGTGCGGCATCACGCCAGACATGGGCACATACAGCCCACCAGCTCACTCAACCACAGAGCTGCTAAGAGCTCTCCAGCTGGAAATCCATTTTCATTTGTTGTAAAAAGGAATTGTTTTAAGTCTGTTAGACCCTGCTAAATGTTTATTTTCAGATATCTTGTTTCAGCAAAATAATTTTAAATGAACAAGGTATGAATTTATTGCGATGAGACTGCACACTGTCACTTATCACAAAGCCATCATTAATATGATTAGCAATTCTAATTCCTGATGAAAACAAGAAAGGCAATTACCTACACAAGATGGCTTCAGTTTTGAAAACTGAGAGGACAAAACTAATAATAAAAAATTAAAATTCGAGTAGTACAAAGATTTTAGCATGAACTATAAAAAGCACGTGTGTTGATTTTATTCTTTTGCTGCGTATCGATTTTCCTTCATTTCCAATGACTATAAGGAAATTAAGCACTCCAATGAACTGCATGGGTTCTGGAGTATGGAGTTCAGCCTCCCAGCCCCAGCGTGTCTGTGCCTTGAGAAGTGAACCTTCCCCTGACCCCTCAGAGGCAGCTCGTGCACTGGAAGCTGCTGCTGAGATCCTGCCCCTCGCAGCGGCTCAGGGCTCTGCCCCACTCCTGCAGCTGACCTCCCTGAGCTAACAGGTGCATCTCCCGGCATCCCCACAAAGATGGTCCCTGACCCATCCACAGACATAGAACCTGGCTCTGCTGCTTCCTGGACACTCTGGCCTCCCAGGACTGTCCCCCACCTGCCCCCTGCCCTGAGCTTCCTTCCATCCATCCATCTGCTACACGTTTCTTAGCGCCCTGGTCATGCCACTGTGTGGATGAGCCCGCTCATTCCCAGGGGCTCACGGCCCCCAAGTAACTTCGTTCCTCCCCTTTCACCTCATCCTCATTCCACCCTTGGAACCTTATGCATGTGCTCCCCTCTCGGAATAACCCACTGGGAACTGCTGGTGTCCAAATTAAAGCCACTGCCTGCAGACACGTCCCAGTCCCTCGTGCTCCTCATGCTCATGCCACAGCATGCATGTGTCCACAGCCTTGCTCACGGGTACCTGGGCAGGACCGTCTGGGCACACTGAGAGTCCCTTAAGGCCAGGCCTCTTGCTCCTCTGCTCCTCCACAGAACCTGCACCCTGCATGAGCTCCCAGGAGTCCTCACACACCCGCTAACATCTCCAAGGTCCCCTCGACCTAGCCCCAGGCTTCCTAGTCCCTGTTGCAGGTGTGTGTGGGGAAGCCAGACATCTTTATAACGACACACTATCGTGCACCAAACATAAAGCGGGTGCCACTGTCAAGACCTAGAAACAGCCATGCTCCTCATCCCGCAGAGCGCAAAACGGTCACTCGGTACCACACGTGTATGCTGCTCCGTGGCCACAGACGAGGCCCAGCTCGGTGCCCTGTGCCTGCTGCTGCCTGTGTGGTAGGAAGCAGCCCAGAGTCAAAGGACGGTCACCAGCCACCCAGGAGACAGTCCTGCCCTGGCACGCAAACACAGAGCATGGGGGCCAGCCAGCCTCGGCTTTCCGAAAGCTCAGACCATCAGTCCTGCCTTCACATTCCACACCCCAACAGCAGCTGAGCCCGTACTTGTGAGCGTGTGGCTGGGGAGGGCTCCCGAACTTGAGACAGCGGAGACAAGCACAGAACTGGCAGGTCTGTCAAGGGCTAGTACCAGCTCTCAGGACTGGGATTCCCCACCATCCCATGAAGTCGGCACTAATTCCCACTGTGGCCACGGGGACACAGGGGCCACGTGGCATATGAGGGGAGCATATCAGGTCACCTGGCAGGGGCAGGCCACATCGTGGGCACACTGGTGGCCTCCCCAGGCAGGAAGGGCAGGGCCACACAGGGAGAGAAGGGTACTGAGAGGACACTTCCAGCCAGGAGCAGAAACACTGACCTAGGAGGTCTTGGCCAAGCCAGACCAGAAGCTGCAGAGACCAACAGACAGGAGGAGGAGGCAGGGAGGCCACAGAGACTCAGGCCCGCCCTGTGCACCTGCAAAGCAGAGTCCCCCATCCTCGGGGGACTGGCCATGGCCCAGGTCCCCCATCCTCGGGGCTCCCAGCTGCCAGCGCACTGTGACATAGACAAAGGTCAGGAGCATGCGGGCACGGTGCCTGCAGGGACAGTGCTACGGCGAAGGCAGACTCACCTCGCTGTCCTGCGTGATCTGGACCTGCTCCCCCTGTGGCACCTGGGCGATGTGGAGGTGTCCCTGTGGGATCCGCAGCAAGAAAAGACACCAAGAAGCATCAGAAGAAAATCAAAAGCAAAGGAAACAAGAAACGTCTCCCGGAATGTGTGTTCTGGATTATCTGTTTGCCACTCAAAAAGATAACTAACTCCTGAATACTGCAATATAGTCTATGCCTAGCATAAGCTTAAAGTCACCGCTTTAAATTATACTTTGGGTTCACAGTAGTCCCCCTCAACCACAAGGCTTTCAAGAAGCGCCCCTTCCTCCCCACCACGTGGATGCCAGAAACCGTGGACAGTGCTGAACCGTGTATCCTGCACCTGTTCCTGCCCATACATGCCGCACGGCTTGGACACGCTGGACAAAGGGAGGACGCGCGTCCCAGGCGGACGGAGCAGGGCACCCAGACTCCACGTGCTACTACCCGGAAGAGGAGACAATTTGAAACTTATCAATTGTTTATTTCTGGAACTTCTCATTTAATATTTTCAGATCCCGGTTGACCGTGGGTAATTAAAACCTGGGAAAGTGAGCCCATGGATAAGGGGGATACTGTGTGACGCACACAGAGCGTTTTACAGTACTTCACAAAGGAGTTAACAGGTCCGAGGAGAGGTATTCACACTTCTGAATGTTACTAAACTAAGTAAACTTTAAAATGTGCATAACACATAGAAAAGAGGGGAAACAGAAAAATCAGAATGAGCCCTCTTTTCAAATGATACCCTCAGCTCTCTGGGGATGCTGGGAGGCTACACAGGCCTCGTGTGGGCGGGAGCAGGGGAGCCGTTTGTGTGCCTACACTCGGAACAAGGCAGGCAACGGTTTTCAAATCAAAGAAACACTCACATGACTATTTAAACAGCTTGAGTCAACACTAACAAATGTGATTCCAGAAAACAAAAAAATTAAAGAATTCAATGTTTATACATAAGGCAGACAATTCCTATAAACCTATAAATGAAATGAATACTCATTATCTTATCTGAAATTAACTCCTAGTCAAGGTGGATCTTAAAATAAACTGTAGAATGTTCTATGTAAGCATGATGGCAAAGTTATGTATTCTGGAACTCCTTCAAAGAGCTCCTTACTAACAAGAAGAGAGTAACTGCCTTTGTGAATGTCAAATGAATTGAATAAGCCTGTGAAATTCACTATTCAAATTCACTATTCATGACTGTCTCATCTCCTGTGGAAGAGAAAGGGTAATGCCCCACCTAAACGCCCCAGCATTTTCTGGAAGCCTTCCCCCTTGCAGACAATGTGCTGAAGCCACAGGAGACGAGAGCCACACCCCGCTCTCAGTAGTAGAGGACCCTGTTCCCAGGAGAAAGCCCTGCGACATGGGGGCACATGATGACCACTGACATCAGAGGTCCCCAGGGGGCTGGCGCAACTGAAAATATCAGCGATGTCTAGTAACACAGGTAAAATTTCTAGTCACCCAGCAAAGCATCTGGAAAAGTCTTCCTTCTCTGCCACCCCCCTACTCTTGTGCCACAAAATTCAGAAGGTGTTTGCAGAGGGACTTCACCAGGGAGTCAGTCCCTAGTTCATCAGGCTAGCTGCAGCTTGGGCCACAAAACCCTAACAGAGAACTCCGCATAGGCAAGGCAGGGCACTGACTTGCTGCTGGGGCACGCCCCCCCAGCCTGGGTGTGCTGAGAAACCCCGAGGGAAAGGCTGCATGGGAATAATGGCCTCAAGCTTTTGCCACTGATCCTAGAAGGAAATTACTTTCTTTCCCTCAGTAAGAAGATGCCTGCACTTCTGAACTGAGCATTATTACGATGCTTCCCAAGAGCACGGCCTGGCCCTCGAAGCTGATCACCCAGGACCAAAGTGAGCTGAGCGAATGCCCGCACCCCACCACGTGCTTCAACCCCTAGGTACTGCAGCAGCTGCCCTCATCTGTGAAACGCAAGAGCTCACAGCCATGATGGCCTCTCCTTTAAATGGGGTCCCCATGCCTCCTCCCAAGCTATCACTGTGCCCCCGAAACGCAGCGGAAGCCGCCCTAGCCCTGCGGTGGCCTGCCCTGCCGCCTGCCCCGCCCCGCCCGAGGTGTGCGGTGGAGAGGGTACGTACTACTTGCACCTGTCCATCTTCTCCGATCTGGTGGATCTGCACCTGCTGCGCGTTGGCCAGGGCGTAGTGCAGCGCCTGCGGCTGCGGCTGCGGCTGCGGGAGCTCACTGGCGGGTGGCGGGGTGCTCATCATCGGCTCTGCGGGGCGACAGGTGCGAATGAGGTGAACGAGAAGTTTCTTAGGCATCGCCTCATGCAGTACATGTGCCCCCCCCACCCTCGTGCGTCCCTCACTCTCCACTCCCACAGCAGAGAAGAGGAAATGCTTCATTCTTCCTTCACTCGTACTGCCTCCACTCCTCTGCAGAGGTCACTAAGAAAGCGTCTTAGCAGCTGAGGCTTCCGACATGGAACGCAGACGGGCTGAGAGTGGAGTGACGCTGCCTGCCATGACAAAACCCCTTCCAGTCCCAACTTATTTAAATAAATGAAGTTCTGCAAGTGCACAATAAAAGCTATTTCAGGCCGGCAGTATCTGTCCATGGGTAATTAAACTAATAGGGGAAAAAACCTCACCCACGCACTTAAAGGTACATTTCCAACAAATTTATTTGCTGTGTTTAATCAAAACAAGAGAATGTGCTTCGAGGTACTGTATATTTTCATTGTAATGATACCTCAATCATAATTTTCTTAAACACTTAGAATATTAAGAGCACAGAAAAACTTTTTAATTTTCAACGTATACACATAATTTTCTTGCAGAGAATTATGATGACTAATAAAAAAAGTTTATGCATAAACACGTAATAAGAAGGGCTGGGCACGGTGGCTCACACCTGTAATCCCAGCACTTTGAGAGGCCAAGGTGGACAAATCACCAGAGGTCAGGAGTTCGAGACCAGCCTGGCCAACATGGTGAAACCCCATCTCTACTAAAAGTATAAAAATTAGACGGGTGAGGTAGTGTGCGCCTGTAATCCCAGCTACTCAGGAGGCTGAGGCAGGACAATCACTTGAACCCAGGAGGCAGAGGCTGCAGTGAGCTGAGATGGCACCACTGCACTCCAGCCTTGGCAACAGAGCAAGATTCCGTCTCAAACAAAAAACGTAGTAAGATCAAGCTCTGTGAGAGAAGTCGAATGCTGACAGGAATGAATGGAGAAAAAGGAAAAACATAAAATTTCTGATTATTAAAGGAAAGCAGGCCAGGTGTGGTGGCTCACCTGTAATCCCAGCACTTTGAAAGGCTGAGGTGGATGAATCACTTGAGGTCAGGCATTTGAGACCCGTCTGACCAACATGGTGAAGGCTCCGTCTCTACTAAAAATACAAAAATTACACAGACGTGCTGGCACATGCCTGCAATCCCAGCTACTTGGGGGGCTGAGGCAGGAGAATCGCTTGAGCCCAGGAGTAGGAGGAGGTTACAGTGAGCTGAGATCACAGCACTGCACTCAGCTCCGGACAACAAAGCGAGACTATCTCAAAAAAAAAACAAAAAAGAAAAGAAAAGGTTTCCATGACTTTTTCACCAAAGCTAACAGTAGGTATTAAATTGCCACAGTACACAGATTGCACTGAATACAATTTTTAAAGTAACGTAATAAAATTTTTTTTCTCTGGAGACAGTTTCGCTCTGTTGCCCAGGCTGGAGGGCAAGTGGTGTGATCTCGGCTCACTGCAGCCTCTGCCTCCCAGTTCAAGCGATTCTCCTGCCTCAGCCTCCCAATTAGCTGGGGCTACAGGCACCCACCACCACACCCGGCTAATTTATTTTGTATTTTTCGTAAAGACAGGGTTTCACCATGTTGGTCAGGCTGGTTTCAAACTCATGACCTTAAATCATCTGCCTGCCTCAGCCTCCCAAAGTGCTGGGATTACAGGTGAGCCACCACACCAGGCCACATAATAAAATGTTAATACTTGCGACATGCTAGAAATTGCCCAGCTACGCTAAATCAGAATCCTACTTTCATGTGATTCAAAGGTGATCCACCTGCATGTTGAACGTGGGAGATCAGCTTCAGCTGAAGACCCTGACCCCACCTGAGTACCTCCAGAGATGGGCCATGTCCCAAAGCACCCTCCTCCAGGCAGCGCTGTGAGCGCCGCAGCGCTTCGCTGTCCACCTGAGCAGCTATGGAGCACTCACCAGCACAAGTGCTCAAATAAGCCTTGTGGACCCCAGGAAGATGATGACAAAATCCCACCTGGGCTGAAGCCCACCTCCCCGAACCTGCTGTTCCTTCACTGACTCTCTTAGGACCTGCAAACCCAACCTAATTCTTCACTGATGCCTCACTTCTCCAGGCTTCTAACAAACCGCTATTAAACCTTGAGAAGTCTCCATGTCTACCCATTTCACCGAAGACAATGGCTTCCAGCCCACTGCCACCATGACAGTCTGTCCCCACACAGCTCCTCCCAGCGGCTCCAAAACGCTCCATTGGGGCCACACGGCATACAAGCTAAGAATGGGTGTGCCCCGGAGTGCACCTTCCAACCACACAGGCTCTGAGGAAGCTCCTGCACACCATGCAGCAAGCAAACCATGCAGCCTCACAGGCTGTGACACCACCGTCTACTCCTGTGCAAATGCTGAGAGGCCCCATTTGCAGCAGTGAAATTCAGCTCGTTACGTTCACCCCTTCGAGATCTTTTAGCACCCTAATAACGCAGGCCACCCTATCTAGTAGTTGTCAGGTTACACAACAGCAGCTTCTTGCTCACCAAGGTCCCGGAAGTCATTTAACCAGCTTTGGTTCCCCATTGGATGGAACAGGCCGCTAACCTTTCCACGTGCACGTACTCGAAACACATGGAGGGCAGGCCTGGCAGCCACTCTCCTCGCCTTTTGAGTCTAGGAGTTCCAGGCGGCGCTGTTTTATGTGTTCCTTTTCTCTCCTTGCTATGTTCCTTTTTCCTTCAGATCCTTGTATGTAATTTCAATGGACTTCGACGCCCTGTCAGTTAATTCCAGGCAGGGTCTCCTTCTGCTGACCGGTTTTTCTGATCCTAGGTCACACTTCCTGCTTCTTGGTACTGTGACTGGATACTGGACACTCTGAGTTTTATTTTGCTGGTTGTCTAGGTTTTGCTGTCTTTCTTCGAAAGTGTTGTTACTTGTGGTTCAGTGTGCTCTTTCTCAGGCTGTTTTAGGCCGTGCCTTTACTCCAGAGACAGGTGAGCCCCACCAGTAGGCAGGGCCTGCTACTGCAGTGACAGATCACTGCGGATTCTCCACTCCGGCTGCCGGGAATCCAGCCACCACCCAGCCTGGTGTGAGCTTAGGGACCCTTCAGCTCATGCCTGCCTTAGAAGCCCCCAACACCCAAGGAGGCCCCTGGACAGACGCTGGGGCTCTTTTCTGTGTAACTCGCTGCTCTGAGGAACTTGATTCCACAGCTTGCAGCTGCCTCTGCCTCACTCCGCTCCAATCCATCTCCTGAAGGCAGTGACTGCGCCGTGCTCTGCCTGGCACCCCCTGCTGCTCCGGGGGCACCCCTCCTCTCATGTTCCTTCTCTCAGAGATCACAGTCCTGCGCTGCTGCCTAACATCTTAGGACGGCTGATTCATAGATTTTTGTACAGATTTCGATGGCAAGAGAATTCAATCTGGTTCCTGCTACTACGCCTGACCAAAGACAGAAATCTCCTCTCCCTTTTTTTTTTTTTTTTTTTTTGCGGGGAGGGTGAGGGTAGGGGTTGGGGTGGTCACCCAGGCTGCAGTGCACGGCGTAATCTCAGCTCACTGCAACCTCCACCTCCTAGATTCAAGAGATTCTCCTGCCTCAGCCTCCTGAATAGCTGGGATTACAGGTGTGTACCACCACCCCCGGCTAATTTTTCTATTTTTAGTAAAGACAGGGTTTCACCATGTTGTCCAGGCTGGTCTCGAACCACTAACCTAAGGTGATCTGCCTGCCTCAGCCTCCCAAAGTGCTGGGATTACAGGCGTGAACCACCATGACTGTCCTCTCTGGCTTTTAAACGGCATTTTTAAAAACTATAAAACTAATGCAGTGCTTATTGGAAATAAATGAAAAACTATAGTGAAAGAGAAAACCAAAAATTATCCTACTACCTAGAGACAGACACTGTAAGAATCATCGCACATAGATTTTTAATCAACTTCCACATATAGCTGTATCTTTGCAATAAAAAATGGTATCACACCGTAAGTCTAGTTCTCACGTCCACTCTCTGCTGCCTGGCTATGAATATCCAAGGGCATAATTCAAGTCATGAGCAATATTCCCACAGCCCCATTTCCATGGCCGCAGGTTACTATGCTACACAGTATTTCAGCTGATGCCTTTACCCACGTCCCAGGACTGCCGCCTCTCTAAAGACCCAAGGCAGAATTCCTAACTATAGTAGAAGGCCTGGAATAGAAGAGCTTCTTCAAAACACGTCTCTCAACAAAGCGCTGCTTTGGGACACAACTGGTGTGGCGCACCACAGCCAGCCGCCTCCTGTCCTCAAGCCCCTGGGCAGCAGCTAAGGCTGAGTATCTGATAACTACCAAAACAGCCCAGGAAACCACTTCCTGAAGCCAGCTTCAGAAAGAACGAGACCCCGGGAGAATGCCAGGTGATGTGGTCTGTAACTCGCAGCCCTTCCAGAACAGAGTACTGGCCAACAAAGACTCCACTGAATCGAAGAGTTGGCCCTGTCTACGCTGCCCTCGCATCCTGACCCAGCCTCAGTCAGAGCTCAGGTTCCAAGAGCCGCTGCCAATGCAGCCACTGTGGGGGCTTTTCAAAGAATAGTTTGCATTCAAATACTTATTACACTATTTTGAGATGTGTTGGGTGAAAGGTAGTATCAAGTCACATTGTTATCCCTAGTGAAAATTCTCCCAGCGATGCCTGAGAGGTAACTGCAAGAGAACTGTTCCCACTATCTTGTGCTTAAATCCAACTAAGGCCATGAACTCAAAGTAAAAATAAAGCACAATTCAGAATCCACCCACTCCTTCACCTGGAGTCACCAGGCAAATCATGAGAATACAATGGCCAGCATCCACACACAAAGGCCTAGCCCTCCTCGCCCCGATCACAACACTTCCAGGAGGCCCAAAGGCCCCGTGTCCCTCCCAGAGGAGCCCGGGGCGGGCCCGAGGCTGTCTGCAGAAGGGCGCACAGGGCCAGGCCTAAGGTGCTGCAGCTCCACCGCCCCAGGTGCACCGCACCAGCCTCCCGCCTCGGTTCCTGGCAATTGCGGGAGCTGCCAGCCACACTCTGGACAGCCCTGAGAGTGCCACCAGGCCAGCTTCCCCAAGCAGGGGAGGGCAGCCTGTCCCGCAGCACGAGGCCTACCTGAGGGGCAGTAGGATGATGAGTTCGGCGTTCTCCGCGAGAAGCTCTTGACCGCTAGGCTCTGGCCCCGCTGCTTGCGCCGCCACGCCGTGCGACACTTGGAGTCAATGCTTTGCTTGATTCGGTACCAGTCGGATTCCGTGATGCCAAATTTATAGAAAAGGTGACCTGAAAGGACACATCCAAGGACAAGCGGTGAGGCCTGCTGTGGACGGCCATCAGGAGATGCCTGGCTGCAGAGCCTGGGCCCGCTGCAGAGGCCTCCCCCAGGCACCCCTGCCCGCCAGGCTGGCCCCATCTTCCTGCAAAGGATCCAAAAAGGCCCACTGCACAGAAGGTACTTAGTGGCCCACAGGCAGGGCTCCCGATCATGACACACTCTTTCCAGTTACTGAACTCCCCATTCCTGTGACCTGGGCCGCCCACACCAGGTGCACACCTGAGGCTCTCACAGGATTCCCAGGTCTCCTATGCTCCAACTTCCCTCTGCCCTGAACTCAGCACCTAGTGTATCGAGTGCCCAGAGGAGGAGCTCAGGGACCTCAACAGCTGCAGCAGAACTCGTCGCTCCTCTGCTCACTCAGGCCTGCTCGGCCACCGCCCTCCCTTCCTTTAAGTCTTGGCTCCACCATCCTCCTTGACAACCACCCGCCCCTCCTGGGCCTCCTGGGCTCCCACCCTCCTCCCACCTCCCAGTCCCAGCCCTGCCGGGCTCCCACCCTCCTCCCACCTCCCAGTCCCAGCCCT